CTTGCTTTGGGGCCCATCGCTGTCTGGTCTTCTTGGCTTTGCTGCGAGGCCTGATGAGGGGACAAGAAAAGGAGGCAACATGATGCAGCTGCTGGGCTCCAGGTTAACTGCTCCTCCCCCCCCCCGGGCTCCATTCCATTCCGTACGGCAGCCAGGATAACGAAGCCGAAGCCTGCCTCTGCTAGGGCCCTCACTTCCTGACCGAGCTACTGTGGCCTGCATTCCGAGACATAAAGGACGTGATCCCATTCTGGGGCATTGTCCCATTAGGAGGCTATCTTACAGGTGAGCCAACCCTGTCGGCGTACGTCCGGTCGCAATCTAACAGTGGCACAGGACTGTACGGAGTACGCCTGTGTGAACATGTACATGTTCCGGGCCCATATCCTGCTGGACTGTACTGCAATGCCCACACCGTACAGGGCAGGTCACCGTACTGCGAGGTCTACTCAGTACAGGGTTTGGTTCAGGGGGGCAGGCTTGTGGGGTGCCAGGGCATGTTTTTTTCTTTCCCCCTCTCCTGCCTCTTCCTCTTTTTTCTTCCTCCTACTTTCCCAGGGGCGTGAGGGGCAGGGGCTGGGCACTCACCCATGAACCTCGAACGGCCCGGGCTCCAGGTTGACAATCAAACACAACCGCCTTTTGCGTGAAATGAGGAAATCTGCCCGTATAGGCTCGGAAGACACGCAGTAGTTGCCGAAGTTGACTGGCTGATCGCCTGACTGATCAAATACATTACCATGCTACCCGAGTGTGTCCTTAGTACTCTGGGCCTGGTGTCCCTGGGTAGGGAGGACATTAGCCTTGCGGGAGGAAGGAAAATTGCCCAGGCACCCCTGGGTTGGGCCTTGGGTATGCTGTGGAGGGGCAGCAGAATGTGGACTCGGCCGAGTGGAAGGAAGCCCTGGGATAAGAGACTGGGTGTCGGTGACTGCCAGAGAATTCAACCCGGCAGCGGCGTGGCCCATGGGCAGGGGTCGCCTCTTTTTCCCTCTTGTGCCCTTGGACAGCGTTAGCGACAGATTGCCGACCGTGGGATGGGACGGGGTGTGCAGGGTGCAATGGGACGGATGCGTTGGGACGGATTGGGATGGGATGGGCAGGATGGGATGGCAGGGGGATTGGCAGGGGATGGCATGGCACCGCATGCACGGCACCGCATGGAGAGGAATGGGCCCGATTTGGCTGGCAGCTCCATGTGCCAGTCATGTACTGGACTTTAATAACAACCGAGTATTAATGCTGTCTAGGCAGACGGGCAGATTACAACACGACCGAGGCAAGGATGAGGAGGCCCAGGGATCAGGGACCATGAGGCCCAGGAAACCTTGGTCTGCACCACATCCTAAGTGTGTAGTCAGTAATATCGAGGACGGCAGCGTACCTACGGGGAGGGACTAGACAGAACAGACTAGACTGCCTGCCCATACAAGACCTACGTACTAGTGGCGGCGTGGGCACGGCTGGAGGCTGGCGTCTCGGCTTGCCTCGCTTGCTGTCTCGCTTCTGCCCGTTGAGAGAAGGGCGAACCAAAGGGCCCTGGGGCCACGGTTCGCCTCAGATTCGCGAGCCCGTTAGACATGCCCTAGCGGGAGCTTAATTCAAGCTTCGACGCCCGGGAGACCGAAACCACCACCCCGTCAGGATGACAACCCTACATTCTGCTGGCCGGGTGGGCGGGAGAGCAGGTGAGAGTGACTGACTGACTGCATGTCCCAAAAGCCAACCCCTGAATCAGACCACTTAAAAAAAAAAACCTTCCTGACTACTATCACCCACCTTACACAAATGCTCTTTCCCCTGCCCCCGGTCCTCCTTCTCTCCCTCTGTAACATGTGTGTGTGTCTGGGAAAGCAATCTAGGAATCTAGGTAGGTATTTTGCAGGTATGCGCGTGTATGTCATGTACTGTGTATGCATGTGTATAAATGTGTAATGCACACGCACACACACGCACACAAGCCTGCTTGAATGCCCTCGCTGGGTTCTTGACCGGTTGGTTCATGTCCCCTCCCCACACATGTCACAAGCCACTTCTCTTGGTTGCTGACTGCCCTGCCCCTGACTTAAACGGGCTTCGTGCAGATCCGGCGAAACACTTTGTCGCCCACCCACCGGTGCCACCATCCATCCGACTGCCACGGTTGTCGAGGCCGTCACGGGCGGCATCGCAGAAACATGGGCTCTGTAGGATACGGCCCTGGCAAGAGATCCCGACGGATGTCGTTGCCCCTCCACCCCCCCCCCCTTTTCTTCTCTTCCTTCGACTGGACCTCCTGTGGGCCTTGCTGGTGAGGCCTGTCCCCGTGCTGAAATGACAGAGTGGGCAGCTCCTGTCTCGCCCACCGGACTACCTATATTCCTACCCAGCAGTGAGCACATGACCCAATCTGCCTAGGCAAGCAGGCAGGCAGGCACTTGACGCTGTTCACTGCGTTGCGCGAGCCGCAGATCAGATCTTTAACGAATCAATCCCTCCCTCTCCCATCACACAATGCTGACAATGCATCTCGTTCGGGACACAGGGGCTTTGCTCCGCGGAAGCAAGAGCGGGGGGTTGAGATTGGCGAGCTCACATCAATCGAGCCCTGGTCGGCTGGCTCAGAAGAGTCAGGTCCGTCTTCATCTCCTTCCCCTGGGGAGCAACCCCGTCCTCCCGAGTTTTGCTTTCCTTTCTCCAGCGCCTACCCCCCACTGTTTGGACTGTCAGACTGTTTGAACCCTTGCCTCTGGGAGAGCCTGCATCTCACGAAGAGGTCGGAGAACGGCTGTCCATACTCGGTGATCCCCGCAAGTCGGCCCGCGGGAGGGCGACCCGGTGCGTATTATACCACTGCTCTATTGTGTGCCTGTATTTCGAGACAGGGCTTTCTTGGCAGGGACAGCGACTGCCAATATCTGGCCAGACAAAGTCAGGCCGGCCCTTGGTGACATCCACGAGACAATGCGAATCCGAACAGGTCACCAACTGTGCAGGTAGGTGCAGGTGCAGCCCCTTGTCAAACCCTTGCTGTGGGCAGCAATGGCTGTATTTGCTGGTTGGGGGCAGCCCAGCAGAGGCCATCTCTCGACCAGAAGAGGAGCATCCGAGTTCAGTTGCTGCTGTTGACAACTTGAGGCCGACAATGTCTGGCGACATGTTCCTGGCTAACACCACGCACACGCACCGACTGAGTTCAGCCCGGTGATGAGACACATTGATATTGCATGCATACAGTACTAGGTCACAAGTGCCTGGGTACGGAATGAGCATAGGTATGCTCGCGTAGACAAGGCTCCCGCTCAGCTGGCTGGTGTCGGCAGCACTTTGCGCGCAGGTGTATATTGCGTCTCATTTGATCTCTGCATCTAGTCTGCTGTAGAGCTTGGCCTCAGCGGTAGACTATGTTATGGACCAGAGACTGTATGCCAGTAGTATTGCTGTGAAACTCCCGGCTGATCAGCGAGAGAAACACACATTAGCCTTTTTGCCAACCCCGGCTCCTGCAGATACGACACGACGACATGTGCTGCCCGATGTTTGAGCCCTTGCGGGCCTTTGTGAGGTGGGCACGGGGTCACGGCCTGGTTTGAGCCTGGGGTGAACCTGCTGACAAGAGAGTAGGCACGTGCTCGGGAGCTTTATAAAGCGGTGATGGCTTCGGGCTCGCGGGCCTGCCATGCTGCCCGCACGCCATTTTGCCCTCGCAAGGCGCAGATATGATGGAGGCCCGGGCTTGAGGCTTGAAGCCGACATGGCGATGTGATACAAAGGCCGAACCCCCTCCAGTATCAGGTTAGGCTGCATTCACATGTACAAAGCTCATGGGGAACCTCGAGGCGCGCAGAAATCGCAATGGGGAATTCGACAGGACCCCAGCAGTACCCGCCTCACCGCCCATGTCAATTGTAGTTGACTGCGCGTTGTCGACTGTGTGATATACGATTTGGAGTTTTGAGTCTCCCGCATGAACGCGTGGGATCCTTGGGCGCCTGGGTACATGGGTGTCCGCTTCCCGCCGTGCTCACCTAATCAGCTGTTCTATCAAGCTTGGCCTGCGTGTGGACGGTAGAGCTCCAACTTTGGCCATGACGCCAACATCCGGGCTAGCCTGCAGCCTTTGGTGTCGAGTTCCCATGTGGCGCCAGGCACTCGCAGACAACACACCCTCTGCCCAAGCACCTCCCTCATGCCTCCACGCCGCGCCTAGACATGAGCGGCACTGCACACAACGTTGACACCACTCTTAGCGGGCCACCAAGCAAGTCAGACAGGATCAACGATCCGCACACAACCATCAAGGCCCCCCCCCTCCCAGAACCGACCAGCCGGTCACACCACCGACAGTCACCGTGGCTTACTTCCTCTGGTCAAGGCGGCAGAGCTCAGACCCGCACGTCTCGAGCGATCCTGGCCGTTCTTCTCCCCGGCCGCCGCCTCGGGAGGTCACAATGGGTGAGCAGCTGCCGGCGAAGCCCATACTCACGCCCCAGTTTTGCCTCTCGACTACTACATTGCGAGGTGCGCACTTACCCGACTGCCCCGTCCCTCCGGCCCCGTCCGGCTGCTGATACGTGCTCTCGCTTGCAGAGTTCCTGCGGCTATCTCGAAGCACCCTCGACGACTCCATCACGCAGAACCTCAACGCCCTCGTAACGCCTGCCGCCCGCGGCTTCGACCCCACCTCCACCTCCCAGCGAGCCTCGCGCCCACAGACGCGTGGACAGATCGAACCCGGCTCCTGCCAGAACTTCAAGGATAAGATACTCTTCCCCACGGTAAGCACAAGTCTTGTCCTTCTACGGATCCCCGTCTGTGATGTTTTGGAGGGTCGCAGAATACATCTTTTCAGGCCCCGTGGCAAGTGATTAACACATAATAGTGGCAGGCCCGCTCCGACGTCTTGAGCTACTGCGCGCTGGTGGCTACAAGCCCGGACCCTGACGATCCTGAGGCGGCAGTACGGGAGGCGGAACTGGAGAGGAACAGGGAGAGGGTCGTTAACGAGAGGCTTGACCCCTACTCGGCGCGCTACTTCCCACGCGAGCCCAGGACGACACAGCTGGCCTTGTTGCTGCGGCAGGAGCAAGGCGTGGAAACCATTGTCAGGTCTAGGACGTGGGGCCTTGTTCGGGAGAGGTGTGGTGACTCGGCCGACAACTGGGAGAGGGCAATTGCGGATTGGAGGGCCAGGAACGGCGCATAGCCTGCGGTGTGCGAGCCGAGTCTCTCACATAGACGCCGCGGGCTCAGATGCTGGTTTGGGGGCCACTTTGGATAGATATGCTAGCATAGGTAGAGAGACGCTGGCCCTGGCCGATGTAGAAGTGACCTAGGCCGCAGGTAGACGAGGACTACTGGCCGGGCCGCACTGAAAGTACGGCGATGTTGTCTGTCAAAGCTGGAGTGACTACAGCGTCTTGGACAGGCACGTTGGTCGAATGCCTGCGCATGCCTGGTGCTTGTGCATATTGTGCTCGCAGGCATGGGCACGCCACCGAGTCTTTCTGCCGGGGACTTATACACAGACGTTGTTGTTGTAAACCCTGCGTGTGTCCTCCCTCTCTCGTATTGCCATGGATGCGGACCGCCCGACGGCTGGCGCCGGCTGGATGGTGGGGAGCTAACGGACCGACCCCACGTCCTGCTAGCTGGTACTGTAGGGCCCTGAGCCCGAGCCAGAGTGCAGGCTTGTCATGCCGCCGACCTGACCTCCAACCTACCTCTGCCGGGAGCAGCTTCTTGTACGTACCTCTCTCTGTGAGTTTTGACTGCCTTGGCTTGCAACGGGGCGCCCACACACAGCACCTACACCCTCACACACGACACTTTTGCATCCTACACGCTGGCCTCTGTCCTGTCCTGTCTCGGCCACGACCAGACTTATCCTCAGACTTGCTCAGCCCGGCATGTGCGCAGTCAGCCAGCACCCTCACCTTCCGACCTCATAACACGAAGCATTCCATCCCACCAAGCTGAGCCCACACCCGCCCACGTAGCAACTGTACTTGCACATCCACCCCGGCCGCGGCCCAAGTACTGCTTCTGCCCCGGGGACTCGCTCGAGTAGCTGACAACGCCTTTGCTCACACAGACCCTGTCCCACCCCCCAACACAACAGACACTTCTCCAGCGGACACAGCGCCAGGCCCATCCGTCGAAATGTCACAGAAGTTGAGCACGAGGGAGCAAAATCTCTTCCGTCAGGTCGTCCGCAATTATGAGGAGAAGCAATACAAGCGTGGCCTCAAGGCCGCCGAACAGATCCTCAAGAAGAACCCTAAGCACGGCGACACAATGGCCATGAAGGCCCTCATCCTGAACGCTCAGGGCAAGACCGACGAGGCGTTTGCACTGGGCAAGGAGGCGCTGACCGTTGACATGAAGTCGCACATCTGCTGGCACGTCTATGGACTGCTGTACCGGACCAACAAGAACTTCGAGGAGGCTATCAAGGCCTACCGGTTCGCCCTCAAGCTCGAGCCCGACTCCAGCCAGATCCAGCGAGACCTCGCCATCCTGCAGATCCAGATGCGCGACTACCACGGCTACGTCCAGAGCAGGCTTTCCATGCTGCAGCAGCGTCCCCAGCTGCGGCAGAGCTGGACCGGCCTGGCCATCGCCCACCATCTGGCTGGCAATCTTACCGAGGCCGAAAACATACTGAAGACGTTCGAGGAGACGCTCAAAACACCCCCGCCCAAGACAGACCTCGAGCATGCAGAGGCCATCATGTACCGGAACATGATCATTGCCGAGACTGGCGACATTCAAAGGGCCTTGGACCATCTTGAATCGGCCTGCAAGCAGAACCTGGACCGCTTGTCCTTTATGGAAGCACGAGCCAGGTATCTGGCCCAGCTGGGGAGGAAGGATGAAGCGGCCCGGGCCTACCGCGCACTCCTTGACCGGAACCCCGATCACCCTGAGTATTATGACTCCCTCATTGCAGTTCTCGACTTGGCAGAGGGTGATCTTGCTGCTCGCAAAGCAATATATGACGAATATGTCGCCAAATCGCCTCGTTCAGACGCCGCGAAACGGCTCCCCCTGGACTTCTTGACCGGTATGTGCAAACATGCAGACCGCCCACCCCGCTGCCCTTGACCAAATTAGCACTTGCTTTCCCTTCTTCCCCGTTGCGCCTGCCCCCTCCTCCTGCTAGTCCGGCCTTCAATTGACTCTGGCTAGGCGATGACTTCAGGGAAGCAGCCAAGAAGTATTTGACTGCGGTTCTAGACAAGGGTGTGCCCTCCACCTTTGCCAACTTGAAGCACCTTTATAGTGATGATTACAAGAGAACAACCCTGCCCGCCCTGGTGCAGGAGTACCTGGAGAGGGTAGGCGGGGAGCAAGCTAATGGGGACAGCTCCAAGGGCAAAGGGGCGGCCCTCTACTTTTTGGCTCAGCATTACAACTACTCCAAGAGCCGCGACCTTGCCAGAGCTATGGAATACGTGGACAAGGCCATTGAGCTGGATCCCAAGAATGTTGACTTTGCCATGACCAAGGCGCGCATATGGAAGCACCATGGGAACCTGCACAGGGCATCAGAGGCTATGGATCAAGCCCGAGCACTTGATACCAGGGATAGATACATCAACACCAAGGCTGCCAAGTACCAGTTACGAAACAATGAGTGCGACAAGGCACTTAAGACAATGGGCATGTTCACCAAGGCCGATACGCCCGGCGGCCCACTGGCAGACCTTCTGGATATGCAGAGCGTTTGGTTCCTGACCGAGGACGGCGAGGCCCACGCGCGACTTGGCAACATGGGACTAGCCCTGAAGCGGTTCCACTCGGTCTATAACATTTTTCGACGTGTGGCAGGAGGACCAGTTTGACTTCCACAGCTTCTCACTCCGAAAGGGCATGATCCGGGCCTACGTCGATATGGTGCGGTGGGAGGACCACCTGCGGGACCACCCGATGTACACGCGCGTGGCGATCGATGCGGCACGCGTCTACCTGCGGCTACACGAGGAGCAGAATGCAGTGGAGGCCAACGGGGTCAATGGCTCGGCGGGCGCACACGGCGACGACGCCCTAGAGAAAAAGAAGGCGGCAAAGAAGGCAAAGAAGGAATCTCAGCGTCTGGAGCGTAAGGCGGCGGACAGGGCAGCCAAGCAGAACCCTAACCAGGGCCAAAAAGGCAAGCAGGACGCCGAAGCGCTGAAGAAGAAGGACGACGACCCACTCGGGCAGAAATTGGCGGGCACGATGGATCCGCTGGGAGAAGCCATGAAGTTTGTGAACCCGATGTTGGCGTGTAGCCCGAAGAGCATTGAGGCGCAGGCGATAGCTTTTGAGGTGCTGATTCTCAGGAGTAAGTCATACCAACCCCTGCACCCCCCCCCCCCAACAACAAGATAAGCCCCTTCCTCTTCTCCAGAGGGGCAGGAAGGCAGCAGCAGTCATGTACCCTGACTGAAAAGGTCCCATGCTGACGTCTCGATACAGAAAAATACATACTAGCCCTTGGGTGTCTGAAGGCCGTGCTAGCGTTGGACGGGGAGAACGCCAAGGCCCACGAGCAAGCGGTGCGACTGAGGCAGGCGCTGGACAAGGAGGGCGGTACGCTGTCACCCAAGGTGGCCAAGGTCGTCAAGGCCGAGTTTACTGAAATCCCGACGTCTACGGATCTGGCCAAGCACAACGAGGATTTCCGACAGAGGCACAAGAGCAGCGCGCAGCACGTCCTGGCGAGCATACGCGTGCAGGAGAGGCTGGGCGAGGACCGAGGCAAGCTTGGCAAGCAAGTCGCGGGCTTGCTGCAGCTGGAGGGAGTGGAGCTGAGAGACGCCAGCGATGCGCAAGAAGTGCTGAAGAACTGGAAGAGCGGAGAGCTAGAGGGGTTCAAGAAGGCGGCAGCGGAGAAGTGGCCTGAGTCGTCGTTGTTCCTATAAAAGGCGCCTTGCTCAGGGCCCGCCACGTGGCAGCAGAGGTGGAGGGCAATTTGGCAAGACGGTAGTCTGTCGGATGGTATTGCAACTGTGTCTGACCCAAGGAGCCTGCATCTGGGCAGCTGTATTGGCACTACCTAGGTACGTAGCAGCGTGTGGGTGCAGATGCTAAGGCGGATGCGGCTGAGCGACATTGCTGCATGCTGCAGAAATGTAGTAGTTATGGCACAGGCCCGCACAATATGAGGCAGAGGCAGAGTCAGAGACGGAGCGGCCAGAGGAAAAAGATAGATGGATAAGATGGACGCAACCCAAATGGTCACATCGCAGGGCCGGGAAAGGGGGGGTGCATGTATCAACGTCGAGGTGCATGGCCGCCAAACTCGGCTTCCGCGGGCTGGGAGGACGCACGGGCTAGGATCCAACCAAACGCCTCGGCGTTGGGCCTGTGCGAGAGAAGTCAGGATCGATCCCAGCCCGCCTCAAACGTGACAGTTGCAGTTGCAGTCGAGGTCGAGAGTAACGAGAAGGCAAATTTCTACCTACCTACCTCTCCTGCAGCCAAGTACTGTACCTAGATTTCTACAAGTAGGTAGGTAGGTGGTGGGTGGACTACCTAGCTAGGTGCCTGGAACGGGGCACACAGGGCACATGGAGGCACGCAGTGCTGCGGATGGAGGAGATTACGGTAGGTACTGGACGTCCTGACCCATGTGCCTGCCAGGTAGTAGCGGTTAGCTACCAGGTAGGCAGGTAGTCAGTATACCTAGGTACTACTTATATGGGATTCTCCTCTCACCGTCAGTCCCTCGCACCAACACCTGTGACCCAGCTACCTGCACGTCTGCACCCATGCACCTGTTCGCAGCATTCTTTCCTGCTCGCCCTCCCCATTCAGTCAGTCACTCGTTTCGACGGACCATCGTGCAGTCGTGAGGTCTGGGTCCAGTCAGGCTCACGCACACGGACACACACGCGCACAAAGAAAGGCACAAGCAACAGGCTCAGAACATCCCCCGGGCTCCGTCGCAGCCCAGCTCCGGCTCGCGGGTCCGGCTCGCGCGCGCCGTGCCGTCGCATCCGGTCCACCTCGTGCGCGCGCGTTGCGAGCTACCAAGAGACAGTTCAAAGACCCATTGTCCATACTCCAGGCATTCACCTTCGACATACAGGTCACAGAATAGCCTCGCCTTGCCCCAGTCCACTTCAGTTCGGCCCAGCCCGGCCCAGCCCGGCCCCAAGCCGCCCACCGGTCGTCTGCCAGCCTCACCCGCGCCAGCCTCGCGCTCTACAACGCCCTTCGCACAGAATCGGCGCCAGCCTCACCCACCCCGATGCCGTTGCAGCCTCCCGACCTGGCCGAGTCCGAGCCTGCGCCCGGCGACTCAACTCACACAATCAGGCTCGCTCCAGACCTGTCCCTCGCCATACAGCACGACGCCCTCCTCATCCAAGGTACGGCCAACCCGCACCGCGACACCGTGTTCCGCGGCACGGCACTCAAGTACTGACGCAACCCTTCAGATGGCAGGCCGCGTGCTGCCAAGAAAAGCAGGACGTGCGGTTTTGGCTCGTCAGGTGCGTCAAAATCGCCCTCCTCCTTCTCCAGGGGACAACGTCGAGTGCCGTGCTAACCGTCCCTGCTTGCCTGCTAGGTGCCTCACAGCCTCCTCCTCCACAGCGCATTCCCCTCTACAACATCCTCTGGGCCGAGCTCGACGATGACCGCCGCACCCTGACCATCGACTACGCCCGTGAGGCCTCCAAGACACTCCGCCGGGCTGCCAAGCTGTCATTCTCCTTGAGCCCCGAGGCTGCGTCGCCCGACCAAGTCTCCGAATGGGTACAGCACCTCGTGGCCCGCTCTTACGGGCCGGCCCCCCGCCGGAGACGCGCCTACGTTCTGGTTAACCCGCATGCCGGGCCGGGCGGCGCGGTCAAGATATGGGAGAGCCAGGTCAAGCCTATATTTGAGGCGGCGCGCATGTCCCTGACGGTTCATGAGACCACCTTCTCCGGCGAGGCTGTCGGCCTGGTCGAGAATATGGACATTGACCAGTTCGACATTGCTGTGCCCTGCAGCGGCGACGGCCTTCCCCACGAGGTCTTCAACGGCCTGGGCAGGCGCCCCGACGCCAGGCGAGCCCTGCAGAAGATAGCCGTCGCCCACATCCCCTGCGGCAGCGGTAATGCGCTCGCCTGCAACGTGTTCGGTACCCACAGGCCCTCCCTGGCCGCCCTAGCCATCGTCAAAGGTGTCGCCACCCCGCTCGACCTGATCAGCATCACCCAGGGCGACAGGCGCATCCTGTCGTTCCTCAGCCAGGCGCTGGGCATCATGGCCGAGGCCGACCTTGGCACAGAGCACCTGCGCTGGATGGGCGAGCACCGCTTCACCTACGGCGTCATCATGCGGATTCTAAAGAAGAAGGTCTACCCATGCGACCTGTGGGCCAAGGTGGACATCGACCACAAGGACGGCGTCAGAGACCACTACAGGCGGGAAAGGGAGAACACCTCGGTCCTGGAGCTCGACAAGATGACCCCCTCGCTCGGCCCCGGGACACAGGCCAGCAATGGCCAGAGCTCTGTTGCTGATTCGGATGAGGCGACGCGGAACGACGACGCCACCGGGCTGCCGCCCTTGAGATACGGCACAGTCAATGATAAACTGCCCGAGGGGTGGGAGAAGGTTGGAGCGGACAAGGTGGGGAACTTCTACTGTGGAAACGTGAGTCGCCCGCCTCTTGCCGCGTCAGCCTCGTGCAGCCCCTCAGCCAGGGCCCCGGTCCCATGTGACATGATAGCTCACTCACGCGCACACAGATCGCCTACATGGCTCCCGATGTCATCTTCTTCAACGCCGCCTGGCTCAATGACGGGCTGATGGACCTCGTCACCGTCGACGGCGACGTGCCTACACCCAAGGCTCCGGGCCTTCTCCTATCCGTCAGTAACAACTCCTTCTTTGATAATCCTCTCGTCACGTACCGCAAGGTCTCGGCATTCCGCATCATCCCAAAGGACCAAAAAGATGGGTACATTAGCATCGATGGCGAGAAGGTCCCATTCGAGCCGTTCCAGGCAGAGGTACACCAGGGTCTGGGCATGGTGATCACCAAGCGCGGCGTCATGGAACACGTCGGCCCTAGGGATTGGGACCGGGTTACGACAAGCCAGAGGTTGATGGCTTAGGGGCCCGTCTCGCCATGGCACGCGTACAAGGAGCCGTGGCCAGTCTTCCATGGTGATCAGTGATACCCCAAAAATAGAGGAAAGGAGTATAGGAGGCATGTTGGACACGAGGGTGTTGCTAATTCATAATCGGGGAGAGCGAGTGGACATGTCAATTTGTATATAAATGAGGACGCTGTCAATGACACTGCTGCCTTCAGGTGCCGAAACGCACGTCCAGGGGGCCAACAGGTCAGAAGAGGAGACGCTCGATTTGTTGACTGTCAATGTTGCCAAATCTCATGAAACGAGGTGCTTGTGCCACGTCTCTACTGCGAACCTCAGTCCTAAGCGAGCATGCTGGGTGTATCGGGCTCGAGCCATTTTTTAAGCTCGCTCGCTTTGCCCTTTCCAAGCACATGCAACACCAGTGCCCACACCAATGGCCAAGGCACTGGGCTGGCACCTCCGGACTGAAGCTGCCCTGCCCAGTGAGACTGACGGGCCCAGCAAAACATGTCGATGGGTTCCTGACAGCCTCAGTCCATCAACTCATTGGCTAGGTCTCGCGGCCTGTAATGTCCTCGCCCACAGCCGGCACGAGTTCAATTCGCGAACGGGTGCGCCAATGCCGTGCTCAATCCAAACCGACCCACTCATCATCAGCATCATCATCATCACCGCCATGTCCCCCACCCGACTTCTCGTGGTTGTCCTGCTGCCGATTCCGTGGCAGGCGCTCGTCGAGCAAGGACTCCTTGGAGCGCTTCCGCACGGCCGGGCTGAGTGTTGTAGAGTGCAGCGCCTCGACGAGGTCGCTGAGGCGTTGGAGTACCTCTTCCCCTGAACGGGCATTCGGCTCTCCTTTCTCTGTTGCCTTCGCGCGGTCCCCCGCCTCGGGCTCTAGACTGTCCTCCAGGATGCGGGCCTTTTCGGCCTCGTCGACCCATATGTCCAGTGCATGCAACTTCAGCCCAACAGGGACAATCTTGGGCATCAGAGCGTCCTCTTCCTCCTCTTCCCTGCTCTCCTCGTCGGGCCGGAATGGCCAGTCGGCCAACAGCCCCAGCATCTGCTCCACTTTGTTGTCGTCAAACCTGACAATCGGGCTCGCGACTGACCCGTCGGCTGCCCTCTTCCTCGTACGCGCTGTCTTCCTGGCCGGCTCTCGCAGCTGCATCCAGACCAAGCTGCTGGCCAGAGTCCTTCTTACCAGGAGAAGGAACTTCTCCATGCGTAGCACGTCGATTCCAGTGGTCCACTCGCGCGCCATCGTTGCCCAGAAACCCCTCAACCACGGGATGACGGCTGTCTCGGGCAGTATCCAAACGAGATCGGCGAGGTCTTGGCAGAGAGCCTGCTGCGGGAGAGGCCGATCACACATCCATAGGGCGTAGAAGAGCCCTTTCCAGAGTTTGAGGATGTCGAGGGTCGAGAGAGAAGAGGAAATGTGCTTTGCGGAGAGAAAGGTGCGGAGAGAGTCGAGGGCGGCGGTGCGGGTTTTGCGATCTGTCAGCGATGCAGGTTAGCGACGGCGATGGCGAGCAAATTTCCAAGACACTCACCACTTGATGCCAGGTTCTTTATGAACGGCATATGCTTGTCCTGTGAGGCCATGGCGATGAGCACTGCAATTTGACTTCTCTGAGCGACACGTTTCAAAAGGTGGTCAGCTTCTCGGTTGAGTTGCCCGCAGTACTGGGTAATGGTCAAAGCACCTGCCTCGCCGACCGCGCAGACGACAGCTGCAGTGATGAGGATAATAAACGGCAGAAAAAAGTTTTGGCGGTGAAGCCGCCCGTCCTAGTATCGGACTGAGTGGGCAGTTAAGGGAGGTTGTCAGATTCTACACACGTTATATGGTGGAACCCTTGTATTTTTGGTTGATTCTAATGGTTGACGTGATAATGTATTCTGTATTGTGTTTTGCTTATTTTAGCGTATTGCAGGGGCTGGTTTTTAACCGCTAATTTTAATGCCTTAGGTATTCTTTATAATTAATATTATAAATTATTTATAAATTTATTATAAATTTATTAAATAATTATTTTTTATAATATATTTATTATTTATTAAATTTAATATATTTTCTTAAGCTTATAAATATTATAAAATTAAATTTATATAAATTCTTAATTGCATTTTACTTATAAATAAAATATATTTTTTATTAAAGTTTTTATAAAAATAATATATATAAGCATTATATATAACATGCTTATGCAATGGGTGTGTTGCAAGCAATGCATAAATTTAAAGGTGCAAGGTTTGAATTAATCTTATTAATAACAGCTGGCTGCCAGCTGGCAATTACGTGCTTTATATATAAATTATTATAATTAACTTATAATTAAATAAAGAAAGATTATAATTTTATTATAACTTATTTTTTATATTATAATTAAATTAATTATATATTTTATTTATTTATTATTAATTATATAAAAGTTAAATTAATATTAATTAATGCTTATTTAATAAGTATAAATAATTAAGTATTAAAGAAATAAATTTTATTTTTTAAAAGTTTATTTATTTATAATAATTTTATTAATAAACTTTATATTAATAATAATATTATAAGCTATTAAAAAGCTTAATTAAGCATTAAAAACTAATTTAAAGTAATAATACTTAATTTTTAATTATATTTATTAACGTAAATTGCTAGTAATAATAATTATAATAAGCCTTAATTAAAAAGCCTTTTTTAATATACCCTTAAGTAATTATAACTTTCCTTAATTATTAAAAGCTCCCTTATAATATTCTTAATTATTAATTAAATTAATAATAAGCTTTACTTAATTTTATTTAATTTATAATAAATGCTTAACTTTTAAGTAAAATTAATTAATTTATAGTAAATATTTAACTTTTAATTATATTATCTTTATACCCTTAACCCTTTTTATAATATCCTTAAAAAGCCCTTACTTAGCACCTTTAAAAAGCTCTTGCTTATAATTAACACCCTTAAAAAGCCCTTATTTGCAATTAACGCCCCTTAAGGCACGCACTTAATACTTTAAGCCCTTTAACCCTTTAAAAAACCCTTAAATATTTAATAAAGCATAAAGCACTTAAATACTTTAAAATATTAATAAATAATGTTTCTTTTAAGCGATTTATATACTTAATTAATATGTTTAATTAAATACTTAAAAGCTTTAAAATATTAATAAATAAGCAATTAATATAATTGTTTTATTTATTTAATTAACTTAAAATTATTAAAGGGAATAATTAAGATTTATTATAAGTTTAATTATATAAATAACTTAATTAAACCTTTAAAATATTCATCTTTTAATAATAATTAATATTTAATTAATAAGCATAACCTTTCTTTTATATACTTTTTTTTTTCTTAATACCCTTATTACCCCTTTTTTTAACCTCCTTTTAAATAATAATAATCTTTAATATTAAATACCCTTAAGAATTAATATAAGTTAATTTGCTAAGTAATAATAATATTTAAGCATTATTACTTATAAATAAATAGTTTTAAAGTTAATTATTAATTTAAAAGCATAACAAGAAAACATTTTCCCCTTTCTCTTTCCTTTTACCTTATAATTAACCATTATAAAATTTACCTTAATAGCAATAATCTTTATATTAATAATAGCCCCTTCCTTTAATAAAAAGAAGGTTATTAATATATTAAATAATTATAAAAGGTACTTAGCTTATAATTAAGATTTTTTTAAAAACCTTTAATATAAGTTTAATAAATAAATAAAAAAATATATTACGGTTTAAGCTTTGCTTATTATAATTAATTAGCAAGCTTTAACCTTATAAGAATAAGCTTTAGCGTAAATATAAATAAAAAGCAAATTTCTTTCTTTATACTTTAAATATAAACCTTATTTAAATACTTTATAATAAATAACTTAAGGCTAGCTTATAATATATATTTAAAGTCTTCTTATATTATAAATTTATAATATAATTATATAAAACTTAATATAATAAAATTTAAAAAGAATAATAATAGCTTGCTAAGCCCTTTTTTATCTTAAGGAATTCTTATCTTAAGAATACTTAGCAACTTAATTAATAAAAATAAGGGCTAAGTTTATAATAAATAAAAAGGTAATTAATATTAAAGGGGTTTAATTTTTTTATATATTTAATTAGCTAGAAACTTTTTATAATTAATTTTTACTATATATTAATTTTATAAAAATATTTAAGAAATAATTTAAAAGCCTTTTAAAAAAGGTTTATTTTATATTTAAGGACCTTTTTAAGTAAAAATATATTTAGCTTAGCTTAATTATATTATAGTAATATTATAAAAAAGAAATAATAAAATTTCTTACTTAATTTAATTAATTAATTCATATAATAAAGATTTAAAATTAGCTAAATAAATATAAAATATTATTAATAATTAATAACTTAACTTTTATAATAAAAGCTTAGCTTAATTATAAAGAATAATTAAATATATTTAAGGCTTTTTGCTTTGCTTTATAATAATATAAGGGTGTTTTTAATATTATAATAAAGAAGAATAATATTTAATTTTAAAGTAATAAAATAATAAATATTAATATTATAATAATTTTAATAAATAAAATTAAGTATTTTATATATAATTAACTTAATTATTATAAGCATAATTATTTTAATTATTATAAAAAAATAAAGATATAATTTTTATTAATTAAGATTAATAAGGAGGAGGAGTTTATTTAAGGGGGTATAAAAATTTTTTATAAAGTAAGGCTTAAAGTATTGCTAACTTAATAATAACTTGAGCTTAAAGTAAGCTAGCTATATATTAATTAATTTAATATTATAAAATATTTAAAATTAAAGAATTTCTTATTAATAAAGTAAATTATTTATAATTAAGCATTAATTAATTATAAATTATATAATAAATTTATAATTTTAATATTTTAAGTAAAAAAGCTTATATAAAAGGTTTAAATTAAAGAATTATAAAAATGCTATTAATTTAATTATTAATTTATACTTAAATAATTATTTTTTATTAACTTACTGTAATTAATATATTAAATTATAAGGATTAAAAGTATATTAATTATAAAAAATAAGTTAAGATTTTAATATATTTAAAAAGTATTAAAATATAATTAAATAATTAAATAAAAAATAATATTTAATTTATAATTAAATTATAATATTTTTTAATTTTTATTATATAAGTATTTTTTAAGACTTATTATAAAGATTTAAAAAAGGAAAATATATTATAATTTAAGTTTTGCTTATTATAATTAATTAATAAGCTTTAACTTTATAAAAATAAGCTTTAACATAAATATAAATAAAGAATAAATTTCTTTCTTTATACTTTAAATATAAACTTTATTTAAGCACCTTTTAATAAATAACCTTAAGCTAACTTATATTAACTTAAGCTTAAAGTAAGCTAATTATATATTAATTAATTTAATATTATAAAATACTTAAAATTTAAAAATTTCTTATAAATAAAGTAAATTATTTATAATTAAGCATTAATTAATTAATACTTATATAATAAATTTATAATTTTAATATTTTAAGTAAAAAAGCTTATATAAAAAGCTTAAATTAAAGAATTATAAGAATGTTATTAATTAAGCTATTAGCTTATATTTTTTATTATTTTTTATTAACTTACTTTAATTAATATATTAAATTATAAGGGTTAAAGGTATATTAATTATAAAAAATAAGTTAAGCTTTTAATATATTTAAAAAATGCTAAGGTATAATTAAATAGCTAAGTAAAGAATAATATTTAATTTATAATTAAATTATAATATTCTTTATTTTTTATTATATAATTACCATTTTAAGCTTATTATAAAAACTTAAAAAAAGAAAATATATTATAATTTAAGCTTTGCTTATTATAATTAATTAATGGGCTTTAGCTTTATATAAATAAGCTTTAATATAAATATAAATAAGGAGCAAATCTTTTCCTTTATACTTTAAATATAAACCTTATTTAAATACCTTATAATAAATAACTTAAGGCTAGCTTATAATAAAATGCTTTTAAAGAATTAATTAATAACTTTTTTATAAGCTTAAATAAATACTTTATTATTATAAAGTTTATATAAAATATAATTATATATTAATAATTAAAGCATTAATTACTTTCTTAATTAAATATATTTAAATAACTTTAAAAGGAATTTATAATAATAATCTTTTATTTATAATTAAAAGCATATAAATATTAATAAATGCTTTTTAAGAAAAAAAAGCTTAAATTAATTAAGATAAAGCTAATTATTATAAAGCAATCTCCTCTTCTTTTTTATTAATTATAACCTCCTCCTTAATTAGCAATACCCTTAACATAAGGCTTATAACAATAACCTCTTTCGCAATAATAACCTCCTCCTTATTAAGAAACATAATAATAATAACTACCATTAGCTTAGGCTTAATTTATCTCTTAAGCACCTTAGCTAAGTTAATAATAATAATAAAAAAAGGTTATTAAAGTAATAATTAATTAATTAAAGCATAATATTTAAATATTTTAAAGCTTTAAAGTATTAATAATTAAATAATTTAATCAAGCAATGTAAGTAATTTAAATACTTAAAATATTTAAATATACTTATATT